CAGCATCAGAGGAGCAGGAAAGCTGACGTTTCGGGCCTAGACCCTTCTTCAGAAAAAAATTCATTTTTTCATTTTTTTTCTGAAGATGGGTCTAGGCCCGAAATGTCAGCTTTCCTTCTCCTCTGATGCTGCTTGGCCTGCTGTGTTCATCCAGCTCTACACCTTGTTATCTCAGATTCTCCAGCATCTGCAGTTCCTACTATCTCAGGAATAATAACCTGTTTGGAATTTGGAAGACATTTGAGAAATCCCAACTTGAGACTTAAAATTAATAACAAGCCATATGTAACATTTAAAGTAGAAAGTGACAATAAATGGGGAAAGAAAAACTACAGATGGTTACATTTCATTCTATATCCTATGAACCATTTTAATTCTAAGTTTTGCTCATTGGCCGCCTTGTCACCTCTTAAACAGAAGACAGTAGAACAGAATTTCGGCCTACAGTTCACTGATGAGGCATTTGCCATTGAAACAGTGCATATGCTTGAATGGTCATTTATTGGCTTTGATCTTTAGGTGTGAAATTTTGGCTTGGTTCTTCCAACTAGCCTTAGTAGTGATCATTGGATTATCACTGCGCTCAGAAATTCCTCTGACTTGACACTGCTGCGTGTTTCCACTAGGTTCTTCTTAACCCATTTTCACAAAAATACACTGAGCAACATCCATCAGAACAGAACAGAGCTGGAAGAAGACAGGACACTGCCTACCCCCATATTGCCCCGTACGTACTTCTGTATGGTAAGTTTAAAGCTCCAGTTTGATTGCAAGCAGATAGGCAAGTGAATGAAGGTGTTAGTTGATTAGTAGGTGAGTGAGTATTTGGATGAGGTAAGTGGGTAGGCGTTGTGGATGGATGGGTGAGGTGTGTATGGGGATGCAGTGGGTAGTGGGATATGCGTAGTTAGTAGATGCCAGAGATGAATTTTTGGGTAGGGGTGTAGGTGGATGAGATCAGTTAGGTCGCGAGATCACTCAAATAAAAGCAAAGTAGTAAGGATGCTGGAGATCTGAAATAAAATGAATGCTACCACCAAACATATCTTCCCTCCCTCCCTCCCTCTCCACCACCACCAACCCCCCCGCCCTTCATGAGCATTCCACAGAGATCATTCCTTACCTGACACACTAGACCAATCCTCCATCATTCTAACACTTCATCCTACTGTGGCACCTTCCCATGCAATTACAGAATGTCATAGGGTCATAAAGCACACAAGAAGACCTTCGGCCCATCTATCTGCGCCAACCTATCTGGACTAATCCCACTTTCCAGCATTTGGCCAAAAGTGCTCATCCACGTACTTGTTAAAGATTTAGGTTTCCCAGCTCGACTACTTTCCTAAGTATAGCACTTTCCCTTTTACCTCCTCCCTCCTTACTGTCCAAAGCCCAAACAGACCTTCCAAGTGGAGCAGTGATTTACTTGTACTACTTTTAATCTACTCTGTTCACCACTCACAATGCAGCCTCTATATTGGTGAGTCCAAATGCAGACACGGTGACCATTTTGTGGAACACCTGCACTCTGTAAGAATGACCCCAACCTTCCAGTTGCTTGTTATTTCATTGAACTTGCTGTCATTCTAACATTTCTGTCCTAGGTTGGCTGCAGTGTCCCATCAAGGCCCAACACAAGCTGAAGGAAGAACACCTCATTTTCTGCTTAGACATTTTGCCACCTTGAGAACTTAGCATTGAGGTCAACAATTTCTGAATATGAACACTATCTTCCATTTGATTACATCCTCTCACCTCCACCAAACCACCCCAGTGTTTTGTTTGCATGGTTTTGCTCTCGGGAGAACAGGCTCATTTTATACTATTCTCATCTACCATGAAGACCTATTTTTTCATCTATATTCCTCTTCTACTACATTTAACATTCCCTTTCACTTTTGCTCTGGACACCACCTCTTTCAGTCTTTCCTCTTCCCACTTTCATGTCAAAGTGAAGTTAAATCAGAGTTGAAATGTTTACTTGTTTCTTTCCACACAGATGCTGCTAGATCTGCTGAGATTCTGCAGCACTTCCTGATTTTATTTTGGGATTTTTGAGGTTGGGTTGCAAAGGATAGTCAGGCTGAGGATAGTTCAGGGAAGGTTAGGGTGGTAGGTATAGTTAGGTCAGTGGCTGTTAATCAGGTCACGTTGGATTGAGGAGGGATAGGAGGTCAGGTCAAATCAGGTAGGGTGGGAGTGGTATTTTGGGTTATTGGGAGAGAGGTTTCGGGAAAATGGTAGTCAGGTCCAGGAGCTGTTTGGGTAGTTGATGGAGTAGTCGGCTGTGGAGGGTATTTGGGTAGGGTTGTAGTCAGCTTAGGTCAGAGGGTAGTCCAGTGATTTAGGGGGATTTGTTCTGGAGTTACCCAGGTGTTAGACTAGATTTTACTCTGTCCAACATTTCCTGTGTAATTATCCAGATAAGTTCTGTGGAACTATCCAAAGTCTCTGAATTCATTTCAGAATAGGCTTTTGTGGAGGATCCTGGGGTCCAAAAGTATTTTCCATTAGAATTTAAACTTCCCAGGAAATTCCTGCAAAAGCCTATACATCACATCTTCCAGAGAGCCATGTTCAGTCAGATATCTGTTCTGTGATGATCTGGAGACTGGAACGTTCAGCTATAATATGAGTCTGTTTCACTTTGCTTCAGAGCTTCATGTGCCATCACAGAATGTCCACAAACAGATACTATCTGTTGAGGGTGAATGGGATCATGGTTAGGCAAAGGATGTCATGGTGCTTTTCAGTTTGTCTCATCACACAAAGTTATTATTGCCAGTACTGCACACTGTCACCATTCTTGCTGAAATTGGCAAAGTCAGCACAGTACAGGAGGGGAGGGTAAGTTTAAAAACTGCAGGTTTTTCTCAGTTCCCTGTCCTAGTCTTGATATAAGGTAGTATTTCTCAGAGACAACTGTCTGTACATTTCTCTGAGCCTCTAATTATCAACATGAGCAGCAAGAGATCAAGAAAACCTCTGCAAAACCTTTTTGTCAAAGTTTTCCTGATTTGCATGGCTGGATACTCCGGAAATACAGTTACCTGCAGAACTATTGGGGAGCTTTAAATATGCCTTCAATGGTTAATGTTGGTAAGGTGTATTGTCAAAGCCTGCAGATACAGATGAGAGCATACAGTTACAAATATAAAAATCATACAACTTCAGGACACCAGGAAGACTTTACAGTCAATTAAGAACTTTTCTTTTGAAACGTTGGTCTTTGCTGTGATAAGTTAACAGCAACAAAAAAAGAGTTGTTACTTCGTTCTGCCATGTTGTATTCATCTGTGCAGAAATTCTTATTTGTCAGGTCTGAAGAAGGGTCACTGGACCCAAAGCGTTAACTCTGCTTACTCTCCACAGATGCTGCCAGACCAGCTGAGTTTTTCCAGCTATTTTGATTTTTGTTTCTGATTTTCAGCATCTGCAGTTGTTTGTTCTTTTCTTCTTGTTTGTCTATTCACCTGGAATCTAATGATTTGACAGCATGGTTTGAAGTAGAGCAGCAATGTACCCCGGTGTATTGAGTCATATCCTTTCTTCAACTGTTTGACCAGATAAACATTAAATTGTTATTCATCTTATTGTTGTAAACAGGACAGTCCTGTGCAGAATAAGACACAACTGCATCCAAACTTCATTGTTTTGTATGAGCTAATCTTACAGTGCACTTTGATAATGAGAGAAAGTGCAAAATCCATGTATTAGTATATTTACTCTTGATGCTTATTTGCATACTTTTTTTAAACAAGTCGTGTTTAAGTACACCTTAATATTTTATAACAGATTTTTCAACAAATGTTTGATCTGCATCCCTCAGCCTCCCAATTGCTGAGCAGCCTTCTCCCAATGATTTCATACTATTAACCATGTATTGGCTTAGCATTTATTTATTTTATAAAAGGCATAAGAAAATGTTACAGTAAGTTTGATCTTTTAGTAAAGTTTAATTTTCTTCTGTTCTTATCAGCTTGGATACGAGGGCGCAGGGAGGACCCACCAACCAAAGAGGTACGTTTCAAGGCATTTTATTATCCTTTCTTTTAAAATGATTACAAAGGTGTAATTTAAAATGTGTAGCAAGAAACACAAATATCATGTATTGATTTAGGTCATATCAAACTAAGAAAAGCTACCCCTTGCTTAAAAACCGTGTATATAAGACACTGTTAGTCTCAAACTACTATTTATCACTGAATCACAGAAGTCTTATAGTGCAGAAGGAGGTCTTTCCACCCTTTAGACATTATTTTTATGTAAATTATCATCTAATGCCCGCTTAAATGCCTCAATTGAATCTGTTTCCACCATACTTTCAAGCAGTGCATTCTATACCTTACACTTCATTGTGTGAAAAAGTTGCTTTCGCAAATAAAATCTGCTTCTTTTGCAAATCATTTTAAATTCACACCCTTTTGTGTTTGCTTCTTGTACAAGTGGGAACAGTTTCTCCCTATCTACACTGTTCAGTCTGCTCATGCACTTGAAAACCTCTAACAAGCCTTCTGCTCTAGCCACCTTCTCTCCAGGGAGAATAGTCCTAACAATCCATATCTGACACACTGGACCAATCCTCCATCATTCCTAACACATCTTCAACCCAAAGTTCACAACTGAAGATTTCCATCTCTCAAACCATTCTTGTAATTCACTCTCCAATGTGGACTCTGAAATACATATTCATATCTTTCCCGTATTGTGGTGCCTTGAACTCTATGCCCCTGTTAATAGAAACATCGAAACTAATAGCAGGAATATGCCATTTAGCCCTTTGAGCCTGTTCTAACATTCAGTATAATCATGGATGATCCTCTTATCTCAATGCCATGTTCCCGCCTATAACGCTTGGTGTCTTTTAAAATCTAATAAAAAAATTTCTTAAATGTACTGCCAGCCATCACAGCCTTCTGAGGTAGCAAATTCCACAGGTTGACCACCCTAGAGTGAGGAAATGTTTTCTCATCTCAGACCTAAATATCCTACTCTATATCCTGAGACTGTTCCAGACACTTCAACCAGGAAATAAATCCTCCCTGCATCTGTCTCGCCCTGTTTGAACTTTATATGTTTCAATCAGATCCCCTCTCGTTCCTCTAAACTCCAGTGAATATGGGCCCAGTCAAACCAATCTCTGCTCATTGAACAGCCCTACCATTCCTGGTATCAGCCCACTGAACCTTCGCTGTAACCCTCTGTTCCCTGGCCAACATCTTAGTCTCGGGCCTGCTGCAGTGCTGTAGTGAGGCTCAACACAAGCTGGAGGAGCAGCACGTTCCAGTACACTTCCTTCTATGTCCTTTACCCATCCCCACACCCCAAACCCTGTTATGACGTGGGCTGCTTTCAGCACAGCCAACTCATTTTCACCTACATATGGTCTCCATATCAAATGTGTTTTCTCCTTGGCATCCATCCCTTTGTCTGCCTAACTCATGTTCTCCTTTTCTAGGCTCCACCTCTCTATTCACTTCATTTTTTCTCCCTCCAAACCCCGCCTTCAGCACATGCCACCTTTTCCTAGCTACTATCAGTTCTGAAGAAGGTTCGCCAGACTCAAAATATTGACTCTGCTTTCTCTCCAAGGAAGCTGCCAGACCTGCAATTTCTGGTTTTGTTTCATGAAAAATCTCTGAATTTTCCATAAATTTGGCTAAGTGTCAATTTTAGGGCATTTCACAGATGCACTTCTCCTTGTGAACTCGAGCAATTTTTTTGGACAACTTATGTTGTTCACCTCATTAAGGTATGCATTAAATGCCTCCATGACACCGTGCAATCATGGGCTCCGGTGTATAGGAGTACTCTTAGGTAGTAGGACTTTCTGCCATTTCTTCAACAGGTGCTATATTTAAACACCAGCTGCACACCATTTCAAAGCTGTAAGTCCAGAATTGATCTTCTCCGTTCCGATATGTGAACATATTCAAAGGGGATGACTGACAGAGGAAAATTGGCATCCCGGTTCATCCTCTTTTCCCAAGACAGCCAGGAGAGATCACAGCACCAGAACATGCCAGACTAATGTGACGTTGCCACCTGGGTCAGTGTGGTATCCACTGTCTGGAGCAATGTTGGAAGAAGGTTAATTGCTTCCACAAGGGTAAAAGTTATCTGAGTACCTCACGCTCACTGTATCTTGTGGTTGGCTGGCTCGCCGAACTGGTTCGTTGTTCCGCAGATGTTTCATTACCCTGCTGGGTAACATCATCAATGCAGCCTCCGATGAAGCACTGTTGTGTTTTGCAGCCTATTATTAAAACTCTGGTGTCCGTTGAGCTGGATTACCTCACTTTCGGTTTTCCTTCGCAATGGAGTGTATATGGGTTCGAGCTCTAGGTGTTTGTTGATGGCTTTCTTCGTGGAGTACCAGGCTTCTAGGAATTCCCGTGCTTGTCTCTGCTTTGCCTCTCCCAGGATCCTGGTGTTGTCCCAATCGAATTGGTGGTTCTCCTTATCCATGTGGATGGAGATGAGTGAGTACTGGACGTGTCTTTTTGTTGCCAGTTGATGCTCATGTACCCTTGTTGTTAATTTCCTTCCTGTTTTTCCAATGTAGTGTTTGTCGCAGTCTTTGCAGGGAATCTTATATATGACATTGGTCCTGTCCATAGTGGGTAGTGGGTCTTTGGTTCAGGTGAGCAGTCGGCGTAGGGTTGATGTGGGTTTTTGTGCTACTCTGATGCCCAGTGGTCATAGGAGTCTTGTGGTCAGTTCAGCTGTATCCCTGATGTAAGGTAGCGTGATGAGTGTGTCGGGGTGTGTAGTATCTTCCTGTTGTCGCTCGTGTAATAAGCATCTTCTGACCCAGTTTTTCAGGCATCCATTGTCTTTAAATACCTGGAAGAGGTACTCTTCTTTTTGGTGTAGTTCTGTGCAGCTGCAGTGTGTTGTTGCCTGTTTAAATAATGTTCTCACGCAACTTCATTTGTGTGTGTTAAGGTGGTTGCTGTTTAAATTCAGTAGTTGGTCAGTGTGTGTGGCTTTCCTGTGTACCTTTGTTAGGAATTCCCCATTTGTCTTGCGTTCCACCGTGATGACCAAGAATGGGAGCTGTTTGTTCTTCTCCTCCTCTCTGGTGAATCTGATCCCAGTCAGGGTGTTGTTTATTAGCTTGTGTGTTTCCTCTAGTTTGGTCTGTTTAGTAATGACGAAGGTGTCGTCCACGTAGCGTATCCATAGTTTTGTTTGGATTAGCGGAAGGGCCATATTTTCATCAAGAGCATCAAGTTGTTAGGAATAAATATCACCAACAATCTATCCTGGTCCATCCAGTCAAGAAAGCACATCAACGCCTCTACTTCCTCAGAAGGCTAAGGAAATTCAGTATGTCCACAATGACTGTCATCAATTTTTATAGATGCACCATGGAAAGCATCCTATCTGGGTGCATTACAGCTTGGTATGGCAACTGGTTTGCCCAAGACCACAAGAAATTACAAGAAGTTGTGAATGCAACCCAGTCCATCGCAAAAACTAGCTTACCTTCCATTAACTCCATCTGCATTTCCTCTCTCGGGAAAGCAGCCAATATAATCAAAGACCCCTCCCACCCCAATTGTACTCTCACCTTCTTCCATCAGGCAGAAGGTACAAAATTTTGAAAACACATATCAGCAGATTCAAGAACAGCTTCTTCCCCACTGTTGTCAGACTTACAAATGTCTGCTCATACATTAGAATTGATCTTTCTCTGCACCTTCTCTGAAGCTGTAACACTATATTCTGCATTCTGTTCTGTTACCCTGATGTACTTATGTAAGGTATGATTTATCTGATTAGTATGCAAAACAATACTTCTCACTGTATCTCAGTACATGTGACAATAATAAATCAAATCAAATCAATATTCAAAGAAATTGAGAAAAAGCTGGGACTACTTTACCTTAAAACGTAATGCCTGCCTTCTGTTTGGAACGCTAGGATCTAGGTACATGGTTTGAGTCACTACATGGTGGTTCCCCAGATTTAGCTAGGTCATTACAAAGGGGCAAAAAGATCATAGGAGGTATCAATGTGTGCTGTAATGCACCCCCTTCAATGCCTATATCAGAATGGCATTAGCAAAACCTGAGTGAGAGCAAACTATAGATGCATTTAGTGGGAAGCTAGATGTAGATGTACTGTTAAATAAGCAAATGAGGGTAAAAGAAGTTGAGGGACGTATTTAGAGAAATAGCTGGTGGGAAATTGGAGGAGGCTGAACATCGGCATAGAACAGTTGGGCCAAATAAACTGTTTTGTGCTTTAAATTCTATATAATTGAGACGTAAGTCCAACTGTTTGTAGACAAGATATTTTAAAAAAAAAAGGCCACAGGACAAATCACCACTGAAACACTCTGTACTTTTCAGGCTCACGAGCTCCTCATTTATAGCTGCCTTATTTGATGCCAACAATAATTAGGTCTTAACATTTTCAGTCTGCCATACCGTGGGAGATCCATTAACAATATATAAAAAATGCTTAATAGTGTGCGCTGAGATTTGACCAAAATTCTTCATTATCCTCCCTCTCTCCCCCCTCACCCCTCGCTCTCTCTCTCTCTCTCTCTCTCTCTATTGTGTGTGTGTGTGTATATGCACTTAAGAAATGAGTTCAACTTTTTTATCGTTTAATGCATTTTATTACAAGGGTATCTCCAGAAAGTCTACACAGTTTGAGGGGTACTAATGCTGAAAATTGCAAATTCTGCAACTTTAATGTGCATGCTGGGTTATGCTTTTCTACGTTATGGCTACATCATGTGAACCCTGACAAACATCAACCAACTGACTTCATCTATAAGCTATCTTTATGATTTATGCAATTGCAAATGAGTACATTATTAGTCTGGCACTGACCCAAATAAGCGAAAACCTTTTAAAAACAAAGCTGGATTTGCAAAAAGGAACAAAACAGACCAAGGCATTGTCTGTTCAATGACAACAGCTATTCAAATTAATTTGTTGAAATTAATTTGTTGATTGCTATGATGTCTTTATAAAGAAAGACTAAATTAATATGATTTATAA